CGCTTCGGTGGCCTGGGGTTCGTGGGTTCAGATCCCAGGTGCAGACCTACACACTGCTCATCAAGCCATGCTGTGGAGGTGTCCCACATACAAAATGGAGGAAGATTGGCATGAATGTTAGCTCAGGGCCAGTCTTCCTCACACACACACACACACACACACACACACACACACAAACACACATACGAGAAAGATGCTCAGCATCATGAGTCATTAGGGAAATGCAAATTGAAACTACAATGAGATACCATTTTACACCTACTTGGGATAACAAGACTGACCATACCAGGTGTTGGCAAGGTCGTGGAGGAACTGGAACTCTTATACCCTATTTGTAGGAATGAAAAATGGTACAACCACTTTGGAGAACAGTTTGGCAGTTTCTTAAAAAGTTAAATATACACTTATCATACAACCCAGCCATTCTACTCCTAGATATTTACCCAAGAGAAATGAAAGCATATGTCCTCACAAAAACTTACACACTAATGTTCATGGCACCTCTGCTGTATTTGTAATAGCCAAAAACTGGAAACAACCCAGTGTCAACAGGTAGATGGATAAACAAATTGTGATAGTATATCCGTTCAATGGAATACTACTGAGAAATAAAAGGAATGAACTATTGATACACACAGTAGCATGGATGAATCTCTAAATAGCCATGCTGAATGAAAAAAACCAGAAACACAAGAGTACATACTGTTTGATTGCATTTATATGAAATTGTATAAAATGCCAACTAATCTATAGTTACAGATCAGTGGTTGTTTGAACATGGGAGGTATAGGAGGTGGAGGCAGTGATTATGAAGGGCAAAGGAAACTTTTGAGGGTGATGGATATGTTTATCTTGATTGTAGTGATGGTTTCACAAGTATGTACATATGTCAAAATTTATCAAATTGCACATTGTATATATATATGCAGTTGATTGTGTATATGCATGTTGTATCTCAATAAAATTATAGACAGTTTCTGAGAGAATAACAGGCCCTTTAGCACCTTTTCTGCTGCTTCTCTCCCTCTCCTACTTCTGTTTGCCTGATTAGATGGGGAAGTTTAGTTGACCAGGCACCCAGGGATCACAGCATCTCATGGATTTGCCCATCCTTGTCTGCTTTGTAGCTAGAAAGGCACAGGACAGCTGTGAAACCCCTGTAAATGCTCTCTTCACCACACCTTTTTTCATGGTTGTATGTACCTTCTAGGAAGCACCTTCCTAGGAATGCATCTGCTGTTCCCTCCAGCTGGTTCACTGCAAATACTTTTTTTTGCTGAGGAAGATTGGTCCTGAGCTAACATCCATGCCCATCCTTCTCTACTTTTTCTGTTGGTACGTGGGATGCCACCATAGCATGGCTTCATGAGTGGTGTGTTGGTCCGCGCCTGGGATTCAAACCTGCAAACTCCGGGCTGCCGAAGCAGAGCATGTGAACCTAACCACTATGCCACCAGGCAGGCCTCTCACGGCAAATACTTTTGCTGGTTTCCCTCCAACTTCAAAAGCTGCTGCCCACAACTTAAGCAAATAAAAGCTAATACCCATTGTATCAGTTTCCTATGGATGCTGTAACAAATTACCACAAACTTGGTGGCTTAAAGGCAACAAAAATTTATTATCTCACAGTTCTAGAGTCCAGAAGTCTGAAATCAAGGTGTTGGCAGGGCCACACTCTCTCCAAAGGCTCTATGGGAGAATCCTTCCTTACCCCTTCCAGCTTCTGGTGGCTCCAGATGTTCCTTGGCTTGTGGCCACATCACTCGGATCTCTGCCTCCATCCTCACATGGCCTTTCCCCTTTGTCTCTCAAATCTCCCTCTGCCTTTCTCTTATAAGGGCGCCTCTCATTGGATTTAGGGCCCACTATAAATCCACGATGATCTTACCTTGAGATCCTTAATTACATCTGCCAAGACCCTTTTACCACATAAAGTCACATTCACAGGTTCTGGGAGTTAAGACTTGGACATATCTTTTGGGGGGCCACTATTCAATTCACTACAGCCACCACATCTTCAAATTTCTAGGGATAGGTTCAGGGGGAGGCATGTGCCATTATCATAGGACCTGGGATAGATGAGTAGGATCTAGAAGTGTTTCAGCCTGTAAAGTCCTTTTGCTTGGGTCTGTGATATCTCAGTGAGATCTCAAAAGGAAATGATCTGACCTCTTTGGCCCCATTCTGTTGCTATAGTGATAGCTCATAGCCTCAGGACCATTCATAGCCCAATTAACTTGGCAGATGGCTCGTGAACTCTTATTCAGTAGTCATAGGTCTTGGAAGGAACAGTTATTGAATCCCTAATCTTTGCCAAGATTTCCATTCTTATATCCACAAAGATCCTACGAAGTAGATTGTAGTTTTCCCATTTTATAGATAAAGAAACTGGTTAGAGAACTTTCCTAATTTGCCCAGAATCACAAAGTCAGTAAGTGGGAAGGCTAGGATTTGTACTGAGGTCTCCTGGCTCCGAAGCCTAGTAACGTTATTACCTTATAGGACTGGATCACAAGCCCAGGGAATACTAATGATCAGAGGCATTGATAAGAACCCATGCTTCTCCACTCAAGATCATTACTGTTTCCCTCTGATAATGGCCATTTAATGATAAATAACTTGTTAGTGGCACAAGAGTGGCACCCAGTGGCTTCAGCTAAAAACTACAAGACCAATGACAGGTCAAATTCTACCTCTGGACCAGTCCCTCAGTTTCCCTTTCTAAAAAGGTAAAGTATAATAGCTGACCTCTTGAGTAATATAGAATAAAACCATCTATGGCTATTATATAGTTTATGGGAAAATGGAAGAAATGAGAGAATATGTATTTAGAGTTTTATAGAATATATTCAGGGAAAAGTCATGCCAGGAGTGGAGATATTAAGCCTAGGTCTTGGAACAGGGCAGTGGGCCATGAAAGAGTAGAGATAGTACTCCAGAGCTTAGTGTCATAGATATGTGTAGGGACTGAAAACTTAAACCCAGAATAAGCAGGAGCAGTAACAGGGAGGCAGCTTTCTAAGGAAAAGTATTGTTTCCCAGGAGGGTAGACCAGAATTAAATGTCTCACAGAGTGTTAAATCCAAGGAGGCTGACTCATCTAGGGGACCTGATGATGAATGAAGAGTGTGCAAGGCTCCACTGGGACTCAAAGCTTTATATCTGAAGGTGGGTATTTCCTTGGTGAGACCAATTTCAAGACAGGAGAAAGGTTTGTCTATTACATGAGCTTTTCCAGGCTAGAGTTAAGTAAAAGAATATGCTCTCTCTCAAAAAAGAAAAAAATGTTTGGAAAATTTCCTAGTACTGTTTCTTTTTTAATACCCTAGGGCCATCTTGACCCCTTCTATGTTCCTTGGAATATAATTACTTAGAAATTGAAACTTGCTTTAGTAAACAATATATGATAGAATGTCTGTTTTTCATTGTTACAATTCACATACCAGAAAATTTACCATTTTAAATTGTACAATTCAGTGGTTTTAAGTATATTCATTGTGTTATGCAGCCATCACCACTAAATTCCAGAACATCTCCATCACGCCAAAAAGAAACCCTGTACCTAATTTGCAGTCAGTCCCAATTCCCCCATCATCCATCCCCTGGCAACCACTAATCTACTTTCCGTCTCTATGGATTTGCCTCTACTGGGTATTTCATGTAAATGGAATCATACAATGAGTGGCCTTTTGTGTCTGGCTTCTTTCACTTAGCATAATGTTTTCAAGGTTTATCCATGTTGTAACATGTAACAATACTAATTCATCCCTTTTGTGGTTGAATAATATTCCACTGTATGGATATACCACTTTTTTTATCCATTCATCAGTTGATGGACATTTGTGGTATTTCCACTTTTTGACCATTATGAATTATGCTGCTATGAACATTTTTGTGTGGATATATGTTTGTAATTCTCTTGGGTATATATCTAGGAATAGAATTGCTGAGTCATATAATAACTTTATGTTTAACTTTTTGAGGAACTCCCAAACTGTTTTCCAAACTTACTTTCCCACCAGCACTGTATAACGGTTCCAATTTTTCCACATCCTCACCAACGGTTGTTATTGTCTATCATTATTATTGCCATACTAGTGAGTGTAAAGTGGTATTTTATAGTGGTTTTGACTTGCATTTCCCTAAATAAATAATGTTGAACATCTTTTCATGTGCTTATTGGCCCTTTGTATTTCTTCTTTAGAGAAATGTCTATTCAAATGCTTTGTCAAACCCATTTTTTAATTGGGTTGTTATTTTGTTGTTGAGTTATAAGAGTTCTTTATTTTGGATACAAGTCCCTTATCAGATATGATTTGTAAATATTTTCTCTCATTCTTGTGGGTTGACTTTTCTTTATAGTGTCTTTTAAAACACAAAAGTTTTTAATTTTGATGAAGAGGGTATCTATTTTTATACACTTGTATTCTTGAAAAACAAGGAGCTAGGTGGATTGGGTTCAGATCTTAGTAAGTACTTTAGTTTCTCTGTCCACACTGAACCAAGTGTGGCAGGGCTTTGAAAGGCTGCAGAGCACTATAAGATGTGCTCCGTGGCTTCCCAGGTTTAGTCTCAGTCAGTCATTTGTTGAGCACTTACCCTGTGCAAGGCACTATGCTAGCTGTAGAGATATAGGCACGAGGAACCTTACCGTTCAAGGAATTTAAGATGTAGAAAATGGACACACACACATAAAAATGAACAGGGCCATGCAGTGCATACTTCAGAGCCCAAGGAGTGGGGCAGACAGTAGGCAAGTTCAGAGGAGGAAGGAAAAGCCCAAAGTGGCTGAAGCAAGCTAAAAAAGGCTCCAACAGAAGAAGGAAGCCTTGTTGGGGGCTGGGTAGGGGGATTCACATGAGCCAGGAGGAAGTAAGAGGGAGTTCCAGGTGAGGGAGGACAGCTCTGTGAGGTCAACAAAGACACCAGGCACACTTGTCTCACTGGGGCTTGTTTATGCTTCTGCAAAACTCACTTAGGACTTCTAATTTTTTAAGCAGTTGCTCCCAGAGAAAAATGATGCAGAGCAGAGCACAGAGGATGCACATGAAAACAGCAACCTGGAGCTCCTTGCAGGTAACGTTGCAGCTTTCCAGGTGAGCCCTCGACCAAAGCTGGGAAGTAAAAAATATGACTTCAGGCTTTCAAACTGCACCTTCTACCACAGCCATATCCTTCTGGGATTTGGTTGGCTCCCACCGCCACTACGGGTGTTCTAGGGCAGACGGAGGCACTCCCTCCCGAAAGCTGATATGAGAGGACTAGAAATTTCCCATATAGTTTGTGCAGTTACAGATAGCTGCACATGATGGGGCAGGACTCTGAATCCAAGGGTGGGGGGCGTGTGGCTGGAAATAACCATAGCCACTGGCACCTGAACCTGTATGGTGCAGGTGCCAGGCACTATTCTGAGCTTTCAAAATGCATTAATGCTCTTAATTCTCAAAACAATCTTATGAGGCATAGGCACTATTATTATTCTCATTTTACAGATGAGGAAACTGAGGCCCAGAGATGTCAATAAACTTACCAAGGTCACATAGCTAGTAAATGGCAGAGCCAGAATTCAAACCCAGGCAGCCTGGCTCTGGTCTGTCTCTAAAAGAGCCAGATGAGCGGGAATGCACCGTCGGACAAAACAGGGCCTGAGCTTGAGGGAACCTGGGGACTGACTGCAGCACCTGTGCTTTGTTGGTAAAATTCCTCTTTGCAGGGTCACAACTACAACATGCTGTATGTTGTCTATGCTTTGGCCTAAGATGTGTTCCTGAATCATCCTGTCAATTGAACCAGTTTTAAATGTTGTGGGGGCTGTTGCCACTGCAAAGAACACTGCAGTGAAGGCTTGTATAAAGCAGAGAATCTATTTTTATAAATTTAGATTGGAGATTTAAAAGAGTGGAAGTATATCACATACCACAATTCAGTATTTACCACATACAGTTCAGTATTTTATGCAGTGAAGGGACAAAAGAATAAGTACTTTCCTTAGAAGGAAGAAATTACCATTTAATTCAGCACCTTCTGTGGAACTGGGGTGATGCTAGGCTCTTCCACAGTAACCACTCTTTCACAGGGGATTTCACAGACCCTTTGGGGTAGGCAGCATTGGTCCTCTCTCATAAGAGACAACCCAGGCTCAGGGGCTGAGTAGAGTGCTTAGCAGGAGGAGGATCTGAATTCAGCCTGCTGCCTCTAAAGCCCATGCTTTCTCCAAAAGCCTTAAAATCTAGGCGTTTACAATCTGGTGGAAACTCCTGGAAGACTGCTTGAGTTGCTCTGCCTTATAAAGCTGCAACTCTAGTTGCCATCAGTCCTATGCCCCACGTGGGCAGCTCTGCTGAAGAAAATCACCAAATGCTGCATGATGCCACCATATGATACACCTGTGGTCCATTCACTGAGAAGCCTTGTTTGTCCAATCCTTTGTCTTCCTGGCTTTCTCCTCAGTCGCTACTCCATTCTTTTAAAAATCTACCCAGCCTCTGTCTCCTGACTTAAGCTTCCTACTTCACATTTACTGATCTCTTTTCTCAGTAAACTCACCCAACTTGTACTCCCCCACTGCCAGAACCTTATCAGCATGGGACCCATTCCTTCTAGGCTCAGGAGTGGCATTATCCTACTGCTTTCTCAGGGCCTGCTTGCATCAGTTATCACTTCTGTACCTTCACCTTCTCTTCTGAGTTCTTTAGCACCAGCAGGTCAGTCTCTCGTTCTTCAAAAGGAAATCTCCCATGATCTTGAACTTGTTCCATCTCTCTCTCTCCATCACGTCTCAGCCAAGGTTCTCAAAAAAGCAAGCTGCACTGTCTCCCTTTCTTCTTCTCATTCTCTTGCTAACCCTGGGCACTTGCTTTCCCTGTGGCTTCTGAACTGCAAGCTCTCTTGTTTGGGAAGACCTCTTAATTACCAAATTGATTGTGTATTTATCTTTACCGTACTTGAACTATTTGCAAAATTTGGTACTGTTAAGACTGTGGTTCTCCCCTCTCTGACATTTTCTCTTCAACTGGCTTCCTCTGGTCATCCCAAAACAGTGATCATACAGCACTCCCTCCCTAACTGCTCTCTTCCACCCCGGGTGTTGACTCGTGCTCTGGGCTCAAGACTCCCCAGTTGGTATGACCAGCCTAGGTCTCTCCTGAGCGCCAGTTTTATCTCCGCAGTAGGCAGCTGCATGTGGAAGTCCCATTTGTACCTCAGTTTCCTCTTTCCTAATACGTTGCCCTCTGCACACCCCCTCAAGATCAGCTTTTCTTACTTTAGTCTGTCATGATGGGTAGCACCACTATCCAGTTTTTCACATCTGAAACCTGAGATTCATTTGAGATGCTCCTCATTCTAATGTTCCACATCCAGTCTATCACCAAGGCCTGTCCATTTGGCCTCATGAATACTTCTGGGTTTTTGTTTTTTGGTTTGTTTTTTTTTTTTTTTTGGTGAGGAAGATTGGCCCTGAGCTAACATCTGTTGCCAATCTTCCTCTTTTTGCTGAGGAAGATTGTCCCTGAGCTAACATCTGTGCTAATCTTCCTCAATTTTGTATGTGGGACATCACCACAGCATGGCTTGATGAGTAGTGCCTAGGTCCGCACCTGGGATCTGAACCAGCGAACCCCAGGCCGCTGAAGCAGAGTGCGTGAACTTGACTATGCCACCAGGCCGTCCCCTCATGAACACTTCTGACTCCTCTATTTCCAGTGCCTTCACTTCTCCTGGGCTCCAGAGGGCTTCCTGCCTCTAATCTGACTCTAAGCCACACCTTGGACAGAATGATCTTTCTAAAATACCAAATATCTCCAGTGTTTAAAACTCTTCACTGCCTATTTCCTACAGATAAAAATCTATTTCTTGGCCTTCTCTGATTCCTACTCATCCCTTCAGATTCATCTCCTAGGACTCCCCACCTTGCATTTTATGTAAGATGCTGTTAATGCCTTTGGGTGTTTGTCTAACTCCTTCAGCCTGAATTCCTTTCCTCTGAGTTCCTTGTCAGCCTGGCATATTTCTCTTCATCCTTCAAAACCTGGCTCAGACATCTCAGAGAAACCTTTCTTCATCTCCAGAGATGGTTAACAGCTTCTTTATCTGTTCTACCCCTGGGCTTTGTGCACACTTCTGCATCCCTTCTAGGATCTGTGAGCTTCACGCAGGGAACAGCTCGTTGATCTACATTCCTAGCACCTGCTCAAGAAGAATCTATGGACCCAAACTTGCTTTAAATTTGCATCAGTGAATCAGTTAATAGTACAAAGGCTGCCTATGGGCGTGAGCAACAATGGGAGAGAGAGGTGAGGCTGACTTTAGGGCAAGGGAATCCGAGCTTGGCAGGGAGGGAGCTGGATCGTGCAGACTCCACGAAGAATCTGTGTGCAGTGACTGAGTGGGGGTGAGCCCTAAGTGAGGGCTTGGTACAATCACAGATGCCCCTTCCGGGGCGCAGCTCAGAGGGGACAGGGAGACCCTGAAACCATTCTGCAGCCTCAGCTTGATCCTGAAGGCCCTGAGCTGCCGGGTTTTGACCTGGACAGGACCTAATGAAAAGTTGAGGTGGGAGGGCTAAGAGAGCCGGGCCCCAACTCCTCCCTTTCTTCCAGGTTTCCCCCTGCCCCCAGGGTCTTTGTAGCACTGGGCCATGGGTGTAAGATGAGTGGGCTTGTTTTCTCCTAGGGATCAGCAAGCAAGTGAAAAACAAGAGGCTCAGGAGGGGCAGTCTCCGCCAGGGCGTGGAAGACAAGCAGGCTTTCCACTCAGCCAGGGCCCCGAGCCCGTCGGAGGCCGCCCCACGCCCCGCGGAGCCTACCGCGGCCTCCCTGACCCCTAGCAGGGCAGGCCCGGGGAGAGACCTGGAGGTAACAGGACGAGGGAGGGCGCGGCGGGAGGGCGGGTACCCGGCGGCGGCCGAGGTTCCTCACCCCTGGCCCCCTTTCCTCTCGCAGGACGCGCTGTGGCTGCAGGAGGTCTCCAATCTGTCCGAGTGGCTGAGTTCCGACCCTGGGCCCTGAGCCGAGCCCTCTCCCCGCGCGTCCGGCCCGGCGGCTGCTGGAGCCGCGTGCTGTCTGGCGTTCAATAAACCTGCTCCTCGCGTGAAGCTTCTGTGTCGGTATCGGGGCCGGAGCGGGGGACAGGGCCGGGAGCCCGCGCCGCCGGATGACGTCACCCGCGCTTCCGGCAGGCGCGGGCCGAGCGGCGGCGGTATCGCGTCACTGGTGCGCGCCGCGGGTCCGGGCGCGATGGCGGCGCTGGGCGGGGATGGGTTGCGCCTGCTGTCGGTGTCCCGGCCGGAGCGGCAGCCCGAGTCCGCAGCCCTGGGCGGTCCAGGCCCCGGGCTGTGCTGCTGGGTGTCCGTGTTCTCGTGTCTCAGCCTCGCCTGCTCCTACGTGGGCAGCCTCTACGTTTGGAAGAGCGAGCTGCCCAGGTGCGGAGATTGCGCGCGCGGCCGGAACCCGCGCCTCCGGGAGGCGGGGCTGCGGGCGGAGCTTGGGCGACCCAGGGGCGGGGCCGCGCTGTCAGGAGGCGGCTGTGGGCCTCCTGAACTTGTTGCCCCTTCCTCAGGGACCACCCTGCCGTCATCAAGCGGCGCTTCACCAGTGTCCTGGTGGTGTCCAGTCTCTCGCCCCTCTGCGTGCTACTCTGGAGGGAGCTCACGGGCATCCAGGTGCGGAGGAGGCGGGGCAGAGGGTGGTGGGGGAGAGATCTTGGGACTCTGGGCGAGGGAGCAAGACTGATGCCCCCTTTCCTGTGGCTCAGCCAGGCACATCCCTGCTCACCCTGATGGGCTTCAGGCTGGAGGGCATTTTCCCAGCAGCACTGCTGCCCCTGCTGCTGACCATGGTGAGTGTTCCTGCTTTATCTTTCCTCCTGTTTCTTTGTTATTAGCATGATTCTCCTTTTTGTGGCCACTTTTTGTTATCCTGATTGTGTCCCGCTTTTGACTGATGGGAGACAGGAATTGTGGATGGCTCTCGGCCCTCCGTATGCATGGGTGGGAAATCCTGGCTAAGAACAGGAAGCTTGAAGTCTCATGAGGCCTTGTCTGAGCAAGGACAGTGGATTATGGTTTAAGCCTTTCCTTTGACCGCTCCTGTTTTTCTGCCCCCCAGATCCTTTTCCTGGGCCCACTGATGCAGCTCTCTATGGATTGCCCCTGTGACCTGGCAGATGGTTTGAAGGTTGTCCTAGGTGAGTCCTCGGGACTAGGGGAAAAAGTAGGCACAGGCAGTCCAGGACAATAGGGAAAGGGAGTCAGTGTGCTCATGGTGGGACCTGGACATAAGATGTGAGATATTCCGTGTTTCCTCATTAGCAAAATGAGCACATGTAGTGGGTGGCCTCTAATAGTTAGTTCCTGATGTCCAAGGAGCCCCCTAGGGACCCCCAAGCAGTACTTGGTGTGAACTAGAGAGTTTTGTCCCCTGCTTTCCCTACCTTTTGGCTTCCCCTACCTTTTGGCTTCCCCAAACCAGAGCTGGTCTTGGGCAAATTTTGATGTTTCCAGAGTTTACTACCAGGATGCCCTGCCTCAGCTACTAATGCCTATCCTTTCAGTTCTCTTGAGACATTGTTCTATGCTGGGTCTGGTAAAGTCGACCCTTATCTTTTCTCAGGAGTATTGATGCCTAACCTGAGTTTGGCCAGGGGAAGGTTATGGGAGAGGGACCCTTGGGAGGGGATCTCTGTTCAATAACTAGTCACTCATTGCTTGTCCTGAATCCCCTCCCTAGCCCCTCGCTCCTGGGCCCGCTGTCTCACAGACATGCGTTGGCTGCGGAATCAAGTGATTGCGCCCCTGACAGAGGAGCTGGTGTTCCGGGCCTGCATGCTGCCCATGTTAGCACCGTGCACGGGCCTGGGCCCTGCTGTGTTCACATGCCCACTCTTCTTTGGAGTTGGTGAGTCTGTCCAAGCTGGTCCTTTTGAGATGATCCCAGCATGGGAGCCGAAAATGGGGCTTGGGGCAAGAGTAGAACCTATAGGGTGGGCCAGGAGGAATGTGACATGGTTCTTGCTTTCCTCCCAGCCCATTTTCACCACATCTTTGAGCAGCTTCGTTTTCGCCAGAGCAGTGTGGGGAGCATCTTCTTGTCTGCAGGTGAGTCCTAGGGTGCTTGCCTGGGGCAATCCTGGGTTGGGGTGTGTGAGGGTGTCCCTGATGAGCCACTCTGGAGGAAGAATTGGGAGCAGAGGGCTATAGTATTTGAGGGGCCGCTGACCATGGGAGTTGGGGTGCAGAGGACAGCCATAGGTGCTGGAGCAGGCAGCCACTGCCCCCAGGGGGGAAGGGGATGTCTTTGGCTGATGGGTGTGCAGTGCTGGGGCAGGAAGAGCGTGCAGGTGTGGTCACTCGCGGCCTCCCCGTCTTCAGCGTTCCAGTTCTCCTACACAGCTGTCTTCGGTGCCTACACTGCTTTCCTCTTCATCCGCACAGGTTGGTCCTCAGTCTCTCATGGGTCCCCGGGGGCTCAGGGGCCCACAGGAGTGGGTGGGAGAATGGGAATGCTGTGTTTGTTTTAGGAGCGACAAGTTTCTTCTACCACGGTCCTTGAGACAGGTCTGAGCCAGGGCCCTCAGCCTGGTGAGGTGTGAGAGGTGGAAGAGGAGGGCATGGTGTGTGGGTGGGTGGAGCATTGCTCTGCTCTTTCAGGAGAGGAGGGTCATTAGCCCTGGAAGGGCTTGGGGAGGTGGTGGGGCTGCCCCATGAGCTGCTCTGTCTCCCCTCCCCAGGACACCTGATTGGGCCGGTTCTCTGCCACTCCTTCTGCAATTACATGGGCTTCCCTGCCGTATGTGCGGCCCTGGAACATCCGCAGAGGCGGCCCCTGCTGGCAGGCTATGCCCTGGGTGTGGGACTCTTCCTGCTTCTGCTCCAGCCCCTCACGGACCCCAAGCTCTACGGCAGCCTTCCCCTCTGTGCGCTTTTGGAGCGGGCAGGGGACTCAGAGGCTCCCCTGTGCTCCTGACCCATGCTCCTATACACACTCCTATGAACTCTCATGGGCTCTCTAGCCCCTCCCCATCAAGGGGTACTGCAGGGGAGGAGCTGGCCAGGGTCCCCGAGATCTCAGGAATTTTTTTAGGGGATTGAAGCCAGAGCTAGTTGAATCCCAGGGACCAAGAGAAAGGAGCAGGTATCCAAAGGGTGTGGCCCCTGTCAAAAGGGGGTTGAGGAGCAGCTGGGAGTGAGGGGCAAGGGGCAGGTCCCAGGAGCCATGCACTCCCTTCCTCACTTTGGACTGCTGCTTCCCTGAGCTCCTCTGGCCCCCTCTCCCTCTGAAAAGCTGCTCGGGGGGGGGGGGGGGGGGGGTGGAATTTACAAAACCCCTCCCCCTAACTTCCCAGGGTTTTCTCATTGTCTTTTTGCATCAGGACTTTGTATTGGGATATTAAAGAGATTTAACTTGGGTAACATGGCCTTAGACCTTTGGGAATCAGTCTGTTGGGGGTCTTGGGAGTGTGCCCACCACCTGTCCCAGCTACCTGGAACACTAACCTCTGGGCAGGTCAGCCTGGTAGGCATAGTCCCCTGGAATAGGGGACAGGATAGGGGCCTCTGGCTGCCTTGGGTCTGTAGCTTCTTCCTTCCTGAGCCAGGCCCCAAGTCCTAGGACAGGTGGCCTGGGGCTGCAGGCACCAAGTGTGGGCCCAGTTCATCCTGGGGCCTGTGCCTTGGCTACCAGAGTCAGGGAGTGGGACCCAGGGCCCTGACTCCAGGGATGGAGCCTCCAGCCTGTGTCCTCTGAGAGGGTGGAGGGTCCACTGTGGGGCCTCCACCAGGACCTCCCCAAAGTCTACCAGCCTCACATTACACAAGGAAATAGGTCCAATTGGAAGAGGAACCAGCTCGGAGTCACCTGGGAGTGGACGTTTCTCTGGGTCTCTCCACCTCGGACCTCTGCCACTGTGCTGCTTGTCTGGTTCCTGGAGCAACCAGAAGCAAGGCTGCAGCCTCAGAGCAGCAGCAACTCAGGGTTCTTTCTCGGAACCTGCTGGTGCTCTACATGCTCTTCCTCTTGGTTTTAGAATGCGTCTCATGTTCTCATTCCCCTGAGACCACTTGTTTTAATTCTTGAGTATTATTCCTTTGGGTCACATTCCAAACTGAAGGAGGTTGTTCCAAGTCCCCTTCCCTGAGGCTGGTGGTCGAAGGAAAGGAAACGGATGTGCCAGTCGCTTCGCACCTCACCCCCATGTTGGCTGTGCCTAAATTACATTCACCTGGATCTAAAAGGGCATCATGACAGTCACACACCTACCTCGCTGGAGAACTTTCCTCTCCCCTAGCCTGTGTAGCAGCTGTCGGGGAGGCGGGGGGGGGTGAGCACAGGCCTGTTTTAGAGGGTGTGTTTGGGATCTTGGAGTCCAAAGAGGAGGACGCCAAGGTCCACCCCAAAGATTGGGTTGTGGTACCCCGAGAGCAGTGGGGTGGCAGGGTGCTGGGGATGTACTTCTTGCCTGGTCCCCCAGGTCAGGGGATCTGCATTGTGCCCGTGCCCTTTCCCTTCCTCATGCTCCTGCTCAGGAACTGCCTTTCACCTCAGGCACCATCCTCACCTCCCCCACGGGGGCAGTGGGCAGCAGTGCAGTGATGTGGGCAAGGTTGCTGTCCCACCTTATAGCTGAGGGAATTGCAGCTCAGGATTAGGATTCTCTGGAGGGCTGGTTGGGGGGGGGGGCAGGATTAGATCCTAGGACTCTCAATCCAGTGCTCCTGACATTCCACTGAATTCCTCACATCCAGAGGTTCTCACCTGAGGGTCTCTGTCACCTCCAGAAGGTGGTGCCTGTTTGCATCCAGTCCTGAGCTAAGTGGGAAGTTGGCCCTGGATTTAGAAAGTAAAGCAGTGTGGTTGGGAAGCAAGTCCACCAACCGCCTGGGTTTGAACCGTCTCTGCCTCTCGTGGATGAGTTATTTAACCTTCCTGTGACTGCATTTCTGTGTCCATAAAATGGGTGAAGAAGGTTGATTCCCTGAGTTAGTAAGTGTTTAAGTGCTTAAAACAGTCCCCCTGGCTCCCAAGCAAGCTCTCAGTAACAATTAGCTAATCCTGTTTAGGGTGTGTATACAGTAGGCACTCAGTAGTGGCTTAAGCCAAGGCCACTACTGTTATCCTCACTACCTTCCAAGGAGGAAGATGAACTGGCCTGCACCCCCATGGGGAGTCCAAGAGGCAGCCCTGCCCCTCTGCTGAGTGATTCCAGGGTTGGGGCTGCTGCACAGGACCCAGCATGCAGCATGGCAGGCAAGGAAAGCCAGATTTATTGAGCACAGTTCTCAGGACCTGGGGCTGAGGTCACCCCCCCAGAAGGCAGGACCCCTCAACCTGCTCTCCTGGGTCCTGCCCACCTGTGATGTGCCACCACCTGTAGCCTCCAGCCAGGAGAGGACCCTTATTTGGCAAGAGATGAATATGTGAGCGACTGTCCACTAGCAGGGAAAGGACAGATGGCTGGAGAAAGGGAATGGGCTACCGCAGGCAGTGTCTCTCCTGCCACAAAGAGCTGAGGACAGGAGCTCCAGGGCAGGCCTTCCTGCCCTCAGGCACCAGCTGACCTGGGCCTGCCCTGGCAGTGAAACGTCTGTTGAAGGTTTGGGATGGGGCTGCCAGTCCGGGGCAAGATCACTCGATCTCCAGGATGAGGTCATCACCTTCCAGTGTCATGTCTTTGGTCACGTGGACCTTGCGGACAGTGCCCTCCATGGGTGAGGTCACCACAGTCTCCATCTTCATGGCGCTGAGCACACACAGGGGCTGGCCCTTGGCTACCTTGGCCCCTGCTTCCACCTTGATGTCTATCACTTTCCCAGGCATGGGTGCCCCAATCTGACCCTTCACGTCCTTCAGGGCCTTGGGGTGGAAGTGCATCTCCTGCAGACAGGGCAGAGGGCAGGTGAGACACCAGGCCCTGCCCAACCCCACCGCCTGGCTGGCCCTGGGGGAGCTGTACCTTCATGGCCTGAGTGTCCTTGACCAGAATGCACCGCAGCTGTCCATTGAGCTCAAAGAAGACCTGCCTCTGGCCAGCCCGGTTCAAGTCACTTACAGCCAAGGCTTTGATGTGCAGCGTCTTGCCCCGCTCCAGCTCCACCTGTGGGGAGGGCATGGAGGCTGTGAGTAGGGCCGGGGCACGTGGCGAGAGGGCAGCCCCCGGACCCAGTCCCAGGCAAGTCCCCCACCCTGGGTCTCAGCTCCTCACTAGTACAGGCCTAGCTCCCTGGTCTGTCAGGGGTACTTCATGCACCCACAGCTCATGAGTCCAGGTGATAGCCAAGGTAAAGCCTGGAGCTCTAGCTGTGCTGGGGTCCTCAGGGATGGCCAGGGCAGGGGTGCTGGGGTGGAGGGTAGACAGGTGCCAGAGCCACTGACCTCAAATTCCTCTGCAATTTTGGGTCCCTGCAGGAAGAGGCGGGTATTGAGGCTATCCAGGGGGCCAAAGGTGGCAGTGAAGTCCTTGAAGTGGGCAAAGACATCGGGGTATATGGCCGCTGAGAGCACGTCCTCCGGGGTCACCTCCTCCCCATGCCGCTCTGTCAGCTCCTTCTCCAACGCCTGCAGATCCATGGGAGGGAGGGAGGCTCCAGGCCGTCCCTCCACCCTTGGCAGGTCCTTTAGAACCTGGGGAGCAAAGCAGAGGATCAGGCCTGATGCCTGCACTCAACACCCACCCTGACGTTCTGCTGGGCCTGCTGGGCCTTCCCTACCTTAGAGCGAAAGGGCTCAGGGAACCCCCCGTGGGGGATGCCAATGTAGCCCTGCAGGAACTCCACCACGGAGCGGGGGAAGGACAGCTCTTCTGCCTGGGCTTCAGCCTCCGCCCGGCTCAGCCCATTCTGCACCATGAACTGGGCCAGGTCGCCCACGATCTTGGAAGAGGGTGTCACCTGAGGAGAAGGGCCCCTGGATTAGGGTGCTAGGCACCTTATGGAGGCCCAGAGGCAAGGGTAAGAGCACTGGGCCTGGCTCACCTTGATGAGGTCGCCCAGCATCTGGTTGGCCTCCACGTAGGCCTTCTTGACTTCCTTGAACTTGGAGCCAAGCCCCATGCTGTGTGCCTGGAAGTGCAGGTTGGTGTACTGGCCCCCTGGGATCTCGTTCTCATACACGTCCGAGTTGCCAGACTTCATGGTGGCCGTGCAGTCAAAGGCCGCATACAGTCCCCGGGCCCCCTCCCAGTATTCACTGTAGTCAAACACATGCTCCAGGGGCACTCCTGCAGGGACGCCAGAGGTGGGAGGGCTTGGAAATGTGCTGAGCTCTCAGGTGCTCCTCCCAGGACCCCAGGGCCAGCTCAGGTCCCATCTCAGGTGTGGGTGATGGAAGGCAAGGCCAGGCAAGAGTATCTAGATTCTAGGATATACCAGACTCTACTGGTGGGGGCTGCAGCTTCGAGAGGAGAACGGCTGTGGGCTGCTGCTGTTCCTACCTGTGTCCAGGGGAGTCCCTCGGGTACAGGCCACCAGGGCCCCCATGCTGGGCTGTGATGTCATCCCGGACATGGAGTCAGATGCCACATCCACCACATCGGCCCCAGCCTGGGCAGAGGCCAGCATGGCTGCCACGCCTGCCCCTGATGTGTCGTGGGTGTGGATGTGCAGCGGGAGGTCGGGGAAGCGGTCCCGGAGGGAGTTGACCAGCATGGTGCAGGCCAATGGCTTCAGTAGCCCTGCCATGTCCTGGGGAAAGAGGGGAGGAGAAAGAGAAAGACGGTAAGGAGGAGGCATGGTGTGTGCATGGTGGGGGAGATGAGTGGGGGGGATGCGGTGGGGAGGGAGAGATGGGCAAGGGGGAGACTCCTGGGGGTGGGCCGGGCCCAGGCACCTTGATGCACAGGATGTGGGTGCCAGCTCGCACCAGCTCTTCAGCCAAGTCCATGTAATACTGCAGCGAGTATTTGGTGCGGGTGGGGTCGGCCACGTCACCTGTGTAGGAGATGGCAGCCTCCACCACGCCACCAGCACTGCCTGCTGCCTCCATGCCCAGCAGCAGGTTGGGCAGGTAGTTGAGGGAGTCAAAGACCCGGAAGACGTCCATGCCGTTCTCCTTGGCCACCTCACAGAACCTGAGTGGGTAGGAGAGTCCAAGGGTTAGCCCCTTCCTCCTCCCTGCTGCACATCCTTCTCTGGCTTCTGGCCTATCTGTGGACCCTAGGGAATGAGACTGAAGAGTCTGGCCTGGCAGGGGGCGTGGCACCCACAGAGCCAGTGTTGAGGGCAGCACAGTGTGGACAAGGCCTTCTCCAGGGCAGCCTGGGCTGGGCAGGGTCGCCCCAGAGGCATCCAGCACGGAGCAGAGCTGTCCAACGCTAGGCACGTGCAGTGCAGCTTAGTCTGTCCAGGTCAGATGAACCAGCTGGGGATTCTTTGCTTTGCAAAGGAGTGGCAGGCTGAGGGAGCAAGAGCACTGGCCTGGGTTCCAGCCCCTGCTCTACACCACATGGCCTGGGACAAGTCACCTGCCCTCTCAGGGCCTCCACTGCCCCGTGACCTAGAAAGCTTTCCAGTTCTCAGACTATAATTCTGCACTTAGCAGTCCTTGCTCGGGTGCAGCCACTGAGAAACTTGGTTTTGAGCCCGCTGTGGGGAGCACAGGCCATTGCACTGTGGCCCAGCACCTGCGTGCGCACGCCATGCACCGTCTGCTCACCCCACCCCAGGCTCACTTGAAGACCACATTGTCGGGGTAGTTGGTGTAGCCCACGGCATTGGCCCCCCGCAGCAGCATCTGGAACGGGATGTTGGGGATGAGCTCACGGAGCTCCTGCAGCCGCCGCCAAGGGCACTCGTACAGGAAGCGCATTGCAACGTCAAATGTGGCTCCTGCACGGGGACCGAGAGGCCTAGGTCAGCCCCGCATGTCTCGGGGACCCCACCACGCCCTGCAGCTCTGCAGCCTGAGCCTCCAGCCCTAACATCTGGCCTTGCTCATCCAGGGTCTCACGTTTCCACCCCGACCCCCGCAGACTTTTCCCTTCGCTGATCTTTCAGGGCAGCTCAGGCTCACTGTGTTCTCTCTGCACCCTCTTTCACAGCCCCCCCACCTATTCTCTGTGCTAAAATTAACTAACAGGCTGGTGTCTCCTCTCCGGCCCTGAGCTGCCTGGGTCTCAGCTCTGATCTCATGCCCAGCACCGGGCCTGGCCAGAGTGGGCACCAGTCACTGCTGAACAAATGAACGCTGTGCCTTCTTTGGTTCTCTCTAGTTCCATCAATGTTAACATCTCCAGCTTCTCCTGCAGAGTCCCCAGGGGCCTGGCCACACTGGGGTACCAAATTCCTTCCAGGTGCTGTCCCACATTCCAGCCCTCTTCCAGCATACCTCCCCAGTTCTCTATGCTGAAGAGCTTGCTGAAGTTGTGGGCAACATAGGGGGCGATCTTTTTGAGATCGTGGGTTCGCACACGAGTGGCCAGCAGGGACTGGTGGGCGTCCCGGAAGGTCGTGTCCATCAGCAGCAGCCCCTGGTGGTTCCGCACTGCTCGAGCAAAGCCGTCGGGCCCCTCCCGAAGCAAGATGTCTCTGAAACCAGCTGGGGGTGGGCCTAGGGCAGACCAAGGCATTAGCATCCATCCTGCAGGCGGCAACCTCCTGTCTCCCCTATGAGTTGGCAGAATGAATCTCACTTACCTATGGGCACCCCAGGGACAATGGGGTCCGTGGGGCTGGGGTTGGCCTTGACGGGGATCGGGGTGGTCGGGCCATTCACCATGACATGTCCTGGGGAGAGAGTGGGCATCACGTCAGGGCAGAGTCTGAGTTGAGGGCAGGAGTGAGAATAGGTGGGCTCGGGGATGGGGGGATTCCTCCAGGATCCCCAGTCCTCCAGCTGGGCCCTGTCCTCTCCAAAGCCAGGGCCTCGTGGGTCCAGGCAGTGGGGACCTATTGAGGGCCACATGGATGGGAAGGGGGGGGGGCGTATCTCTAAGATCAGGAGCAAGGAAGGTGGGGCTGGGGGAGACTGAAGCAAAGGAGGAGGGTGCAAGATCAGATTGAGGGCAGGGGTAGGGGGTGCTAGGAAGCTCTGGGCAGGGGGCCAGAAGCAAGGCATCGGGGAGGGGAAAGAAGGGCAGTCTCAGGGCCGGACCCAGGTAGTGCAGCAGCTTCTGGGCCCGGTTCTGTGCGGGCCGCAGCTGGAATAGTTCCGGGTTCTCGTCGATGAACTGGGTGTCCACGGTGCCTGCCAGGAACTGCTGGTTGTTGAGCACATTCTGCAGGAAGGGGATGTTGGTCTGCAGGACAGAGGTGGGTGGGAGGGCGTCACCACGCAGCATGGTTGGGGAAAGAAGAGGCTGAAGGTGCCACCCTGGGCCAGCACAGCTTCTCGAGTTCCCCAGGATTCCATGCTGAGGTTCAAGGCGTCCCTGTGGAGTGCCATTTCCCCATCTCCTCACAACACCCTCCTCCCATTCTGGCAGAGTCCCCTAAGCTGTCAGGGGACTGAGCCCACTTCCTCCTTGCTCATCCTGGGGCATGTGCTGAATCCCACCTCCTCCTTCCTCAGGTATCTGGAAACAAGCACTTCCTCCCCTCCACACAGCCCAGAAAGTGGATTAGGCCTTTCCCACAGCACTGTGGTGTAAAGCAGCCACCCTCTCGCCTTCCTGGCCACGATTCTTGAAAGAGGCCCCTGCATTCAACAATTGTTGAATGCAGGGCCCACTCCCCCCACACACAACACACGGCCACGCCCTGATCTTCTCACATGATATTCTTATCACTAAATCCAATGGCACTTTCCCGCCCTCTCTTGCTAACAGCTCCCACCTGGACGTTTTCTCCCTGAGCTTCTAAGACCTCTTGCTCTCTTTCTTCCTGGTTCCCACTGGGGGCTCCTCTCCCCCTGCAGGATGGCCTTCTGAGGGCTGTCACTGGGTTCTCCTCCTCACACAGCACACTCTCCCTGGGTGGCCTCATCCTAGGCCTCCAGCTCCAGAGCCAAGACCCTACAGTGGAAATACCTCCTGGGCACCTCTCCTGTGTGTCCCTCACACAAGCTCATCAAGTCCAAAATCGGCTTCCGTCACCCAGTCCTCCTCTGCCTTCTGGTAGGCTTTACTGTCTACCCGGTTACCAAACCTACATTCCATCACCCTCACCACCCACTCCTCCTGTGTCACTGGTCACACCAGACAATTCCACCATGGCCATCTCTAGCTCTGACCCCTTGTCTCCAGGCCACGCCTCCTGCCAGGCTTCCTGGGCACGACCACCTCTAGCCACACCACATGTGCCTTGTGCTCTTAGACCTCCACGCCTTTGCACCCGCCCGGAATCTCTTCCTGGAAGTCTGGAAGTCAAAGCCCTCCTTTGTACCTCACCACCACCCTCACAGCAGAGCCGGACTCTAGTAGGCCTCTGTGGGATCAGCTGTTGGAAAGTTCCTCCCTTGGCCTCATCACCTTTTGCTTGTCTGCATTCCTCACACACCTGGGAGCATTTTTTGGGGAGCAGGGGTGCTGTCTGAGGTACCTGTATCCGCCTGCTTTGTGCACAAAGGCCCTCGGTTCTGCTCATTAAACGCTGGGTGACAGCCTGAAGTTAGGGCAGGGTAGTCCAACCCAAAGGCCGCATGGGGCCTAGGAGCCAGTGCTGAGAGATGCCCCGTGACAGTGAGGCCATGTGGACGGGATTTCAGCGTGCACGTGCCTGTGACCACATGGCGACAGCCCTAGCTGTCACTTCAGAGAAGGCATCTCCGTGTGTCACCCACTCATAATCTCTGGGTGCACCTTCAACAGGGACTCCAGGCCCAGCATGAGCTGCTGGACCCTGTTGCTACCCTGAGATATTCTATCTGCCCCCCCAGGGCTCCTACTGCCTGGAGGCCTAGAGGGGAAGGGTGTCTCCTCCCACAGGCGGTCATTTTAGAGTGGGACCCAGCCAACATGGCCTCATGCCTGTCTGGTGTGACAGGTCTGCTGTGTGTCCCTGAATCTGGTCTCTGCTCCTTCTAAAGAGATGGGGACATTTCACTTGGACCAAGGCATGGTATTTGAAAAGAGAAAACCAGCGAAACCACGTAAAGAACCTAGAACCACGTAGAGGTGAGAGGATCCTTGGAGGCCTCCCCTGTCCCATCTTGCATTTCCCTTTTGTAGATCCCTCCCCCTTTGTAATTCTGGAGGGATCTGTCATCTCCTCTGTGCTGTAACCCCAACTCTCAGCACAGAGCAGCATGTAATGGACGCTAGTAAATGTGTGTAGGGTGAATGAAAACATTTCTGATGGTGAGAAGAGGAACACAGAAATATCTGATGCCACTGAGCATCAAAGTTGACCTGGGCTAGGATCCAATGCCTTCATTCTACAGGTTCAAGAGCTGAGGCCCGGGAGCAGCAACAGTAAGAACAGCTGCCAGCGGCCGGGCGGCTAAGCCCTCACAGGCTGCATCACTTCTCTTCCCACCCCTGCTAAGTGCATAAGTACATACAGTTAACAGCCCTTGACCTAGATGACAAATTGTTTCAGTGGTTAAATAAGTTGCCCCAGGCTACCTGCTGTACCAGGCAGGATTAGAATTCGGTCTGTTTCCTTGAGTTTGCCGCACCCAGCCCCTAGGAATCAGGTCTGGAGAGAAGGGAGGGGGCAGGGGAGGACCCAGGTAGCCTGAGAGCGAGGAGATACTAGGGGGAGATGGTGACTTCCTGTTTCCCAACCAGGGGGACCACTGTGAAGGACCACGGTGCCCGAGCTGGTTCCGAGCCCTCAGCGCTCCCACCCAAGCCCGGCTCTTGGAGGTAGGAAACCGGGAACTCACACCGGGGGGGCCCTTTCTCAGCGGAGCCGAGCTTGTGTCCTGGGCCACCCCACCAAGGAAATAGCCCGGCAGAGGCAGAAGGGGGAGGGAGGGACTGCCAGCCGGCGAGGATCACTGACGCACAGCTTCAAACAGCGTGCCACCGCCGACCTGCTGGGAAACCGCGAGCGCAGACCAATCGGGCCCGAGGCGGAGACCGGTTGGCTCCCGAACACCGGGCAGGCGGGGCGCGGAGCCTGGGAAGGGGGAGGGAGGGGCGGGCAGCAGGGGCGGGGCGCGGCGCCAGCCCGGAGGCCGAGCCCTCTCGGCCCCACCCACGGCAGCCCTGCCGGGGGCGTCGCCCAGTCCATCCCAGTCCCCTCCAAGGCCCCTTGCCTGTTGGGGACCCTCCACGTGACTCGGTGATGCAGAACGGTTATGACCTTCAGTGTGTGTCTGTGAATGTGAGGGTCCCAGTAACAGTGCAGGTTTGCGCCCGGCCCTGCCTATGGGTGCGGGGACGTGTGGGTGTGTAGGCATGTGTGGGTGTGTTGGGGAGGGTGCCCAGCGACATGTGACAAAGACTCCCGTCTCTGGGAGATGGTGAAGAGGCCCGCGAGCTGGCGCTTTGTCTGGCTGTCTGCAGAGTGACGGTTCGCGCAGCGGCGGCGGGCGCCCGTGCGGTGCAGGATGCCGGGGCGCCAGGGTGGCCGGGGGCGCGCGCGCCTGTGCCAGGGTGAGTGCGCTGCGGCAGTGCTGGGGGGCTGCGCGGCGGACCGGCGCCGGCCGGGGCCTGGGGCGTGACCAGGAGCCACCCGTGGGCGCTGCAGTGGCCGCATGTCCCCGTGACCTCGGGATCCGGCCCGGGCCCGGGTGGATCCCCGCGCGCCCCTCCCCGTCCGCCCTCCACGTGCGTGTCCGCGGAGCGCGTGCTCGCTGGCGCGCACCCACCTGCCTGTCGCCGCCGTCGCCGCCACCGCAAGCCGCGCCGGGAAAAGGTGCCGGGAACCGAGTGAGCCGGGGCCGCGGGCCCGAGCGCCATGGGCCGGCGGGTGCGCGGCGGGCGGCCGGTCAGCCCAGGGCCTCGCCCCCACGGGAGAGCCGCCTGGAGTCGGCGAGGGCCGGCCGGGCCCACGGGGAGGCCAGCCCGCGCCCCCTGAGCTACAGACGCCAGGTGAGGGGGCCGCGGGGTACAGCGCGGAGGCTGTCAGGGGAGGGGCGACGGGCCACAGGAAACGTCTGGGGGGAGCCTTCCCTGGCGCGGGAGGGGATGGCGCGGAGGGGGGTGCTGGCGATTCCAGGGGACGCCAGGGAAAGGAACTTCCGGGACCCTCCCTGTTCTTTTGGCCACCTCTGCTTCCTGCCTCATGCCTCATCTTGTCCCCCGAGCCTGGACTCCCCCTAACTGCTTAGGAAATGTGACCTTTACTCAGGGGGGCCTGTCCCTGCAAGCCCCAGCCTTCCCTCAACCCTGGGGGGCCCCTGTGGCCTCTGACCCTCACCCCCTCCAGGCCAGGCTCTGGAAGCTGGCCCCTGGGACTGGGCCCTGGGCACAGGGAGCACCTACACCAGCCGCACCTGTACCTGGGCTGTGGCCCTTCCCTACAGGGAGCTCACCATGGCCCCACCACTCCTGCTGCTGCTGCTGGCCAGTGGAGCGGCCGCCTGCCCACTGCCCTGCGTCTGCCAGAACCTGTCCGAATCGCTCAGCACCCTCTGTGCCCACCGAGGCCTGCTGTTCGTGCCGCCCAACGTGGACCGGCGCACAGTGGAGCTGCGGCTGGCTGACAACTTCATCCAGGCCTTGGGGCCCCCGGACTTCCGCAACATGACAGGGCTGGTGGACCTGACCCTGTCCCGAAATGCCATCACCCGCATTGGGGCTCGCGCCTTTGGGGACCTGGAGAGCCTGCGCTCCCTGCACCTGGACGGCAATAGGCTGGTGGAGCTGGGTGCCAGCAGCCTTCGGGGCCCCGTTAACCTGCAGCACCTCATCCTCAGTGGCAACCAGCTGGGCCGAATCGCGCCGGGGGCCTTCGATGACTTCCTGGACAGCCTGGAGGACCTGGACCTGTCCTACAACAATCTGCGGCAGGTACCCTGGGCTGGCATCGGTGCCATGCCCGCCCTGCACACCCTCAACCTGGACCACAACCTCATCGACGCACTGCCCCCAGGCGCCTTTGCCCAACTCGGCCAGCTCTCCCGCCTTGACCTCACCTCCAACCGCCTGGCCACCCTGGCGCCCGACCCGCTCTTCTCCCGGGGGCGCGACGCTGAGGCCTCGCCCACCCCCCTGGTGCTGAGCTTCAGCGGGAACCCCCTGCACTGCAACTGTGAGCTGCTCTGGCTGCGCCGGCTGGCCCGGCCCGATGACCTGGAGACGTGCGCCTCCCCGCCAGGCCTGGCTGGCCGCTACTTCTGGGCAGTGCCCGAGGGCGAGTTCTCCTGTGAGCCCCCCCTTATTGCCCGCCACACGCAGCGCCTCTGGGTGCTGGAGGGCCAGCGGGCCACGCTGCGGTGCCGGGCCCTCGGCGACCCTGCGCCCACCATGCACTGGGTTGGCCCTGATGACCGGCTAGTCGGCAACTCCTCCCGAGCCCGGGCTTTCCCCAACGGGACCTTGGAGATTGGGGTGACAGGCTCTGGAGACGCAGGGGACTACACCTGCATTGCCACCAACCCTGCTGGTGAGGCCACAGCCCGCGTAGAGCTACGGGTACTGGCCTTGCCCCACGGCGGGAACGGCAGCGCTGAAGGGGGCCGCCCGGGGCCCTCGGACATTGCTGCCTCAGCCCGCACTGCTGCCGAGGGTGAGGGGACGCTAGAGTCTGAGCCAGCTGTGCAGGTGACAGAGGTGACCGCCACCTCAGGGCTGGTGAGCTGGGGGCCAGGGCGGCCAACGGACCCCGTGTGGATGTTCCAAATCCAGTACAACAGCAGCGAGGACGAGACCCTCATCTACCGGTGAGGACGCACTTTGCAGCCCCGTGGACCCCAGCTTCGTTCCCAGCCGCCCTCCCTCTGAGCCCTGCTCCACTCCTCCAGGGCTTGGCCACCTCTCCTGGGCGCTGCCACACACCCCTCCTCAGCTTCTGAGCTGCCGGGGGGGTGCTGGGGCTGCAGGGGGAGAGGAGGCTCAGGCACCAGGGACAGGAGGTGGGGAGTGCTGTGAGGAGGCTGTCGGGTGCGGCTGAGCAAGCGCAGGCCTCCTGGTGTTGGGCGTCCATGTTTAAGCACGTGGGGCCAGGCCCACAGGTGCATGTTGTTTCTGCCTCTGGCGATGTGATTCTCCACTTGTGGCCTCCTCGGCTTGCCCTGGGCCTGTGTCCACACCTGTGGACAGACACCTGTCTGTCCCCTTGCACTGTCTCCACTGCCGCACATGCATGCCTGTTTTGGTTCCTTTACCTTCTTGAGTGAACAAGGCACATGTGGTCCTGAGGGCAGGGGGTGTTCAGAGCTGGGACCTGGGAGCACACTGAGGGTGGTGGGGAGTGAGCTGTGAAGGGCACTTCGAGGCCATGTGAGGGGGGGGGCTGGGGCCTGGACCCTGATGCCTGTGCTCTGACCACCTGCCCTTGCCCACAGGATCGTCCCAGCCTCCAGCCACCACTTTTTGCTGAAGCACCTAGTCCCTGGTGCCGACTATGACCTCTGCCTGCTGGCCTTGTCACCCGCCGCTGGGCTTTCCGACCTCACGGCCACCAGGCTGCTGGGCTGTGCCCACTTCTCCACACTGCCAGCCACACCCCTGTGCCACGCCCTGCAGGCCCACGTGCTGGGCGGGACCCTGACCGTGGCTGTGGGGGGTGTGCTGGTGGCTGCCTTACTGGTCTTCACTGTGGCCTTGCTGGTTCGGGGCCGGGGGGCTGGGAATGGCCGTCTTCCCCTCAAACTCAGCCACGTCCAATCCCAGACCAATGGAGGCCCCAGCCCCACGCCCAAGACCCACCCGCCGAGGAGCCCCCCGCCTCGCCCCCAGCGCAGCTGCTCCCTAGACCTGGGAGACACCGGGGGGTGCTACGGTTATGCCAGGCGCCTTGGAGGAGCCTGGGCCCGACGGAGCCACTCTGTGCACGGGGGGCTGCTCGGGGCAGGGTGCCGGGAAGTGGGGGGCAGTGCGGAGAGGCTGGAAGAGAGCGTGGTGTGATGGGAAGGGAACCAGCCCGGGGCAGAGGGCGTGGGGCGGGCAGCCGCCTGGCTGGTAGGTCAGTACTGCCTGCAAGTCCCTCCGGTTTACCCTCGGTACCTCAGGCCCCCTTTATGCTTGGCAGGACAGGGGGCCCTCCCTCTGGTTCTGGCCCCCAGATGGGCGTAAGGGGACAGGTCCCTCTGACAGGTGCTCACAGCCACTGAGGCAGGGGCTGCAGCCACCAAGTGGGAGTCTTGTTTTTCTTTATAATAAAATTGTTGGGGACACCTCAATGCTAGTCTCTGGTCTCATCCTGCTAGGCTCCCTGAGAGGGGAGGGGAACACATGGGCCAGTGGAGGCACAGAGACAGGATGGGAGCAGGGCTGGGGCTGCCAGCCCCGTGGAGGTGGCCCAGGCAGCCCGGGGTGCCCTCGGCCCCCTCACCGTCTGACGGCCCAGTGCTTGGGTCTGCTGCCTCCAGACCTGGGTGAGCCCAGGCCCAGGCCCTCGAGTACCATGCTCACTGGGCACAGCACCCTCCGTGCTCTATAAGTGCAGAGAACACTCCTTCCTGGCAGGATGTGGCAGGATGTGACGCCCTCACGGTGGCCTGGATGTTAGAATGCAACTAGTGACAATAGGAGCAGGTGAGACATGGCACAGCCCCTCAGGGAAGAGGCCTGGGCTGGCAACATTCTCTTAACACAACTTAGTGGGCAAGTCCCCATGGCTTCCGATGCTCACGACCTTATTCGCCATCTCCCAGGGCATCTCTTGGATTTGTAAAATGTCATCCGAAAAGGGCTTGGGATCCCACTGCCCTGCTATCAGCCCAGGACCCCCTGGAAGGTTCCTGTCAGTGCTGCAGGCCCTGAGCGAGATCCCGGCTCCCCAGCTGCTCTGCTGACACCCCCGGGGCTTTGCTCTGGGCCTGTCTGGAAAAACAGAGTCAAACCTCTCTCGCTGGGCACTGGAGGGGTGCCCACAGCCACTGCCCTGCTCTAGTCCCCACCCCGAGGAGCCACAGTCCAGGGGTGGCATGCCCTGCTCTGCTTCCTCTGTGCCCAAGTCCCTGCCAGCCTCTCGCCCCGGGCTCTGCCAGCCTTCTAAACACTCACTGCTCCTGGGCATTGGCTGGAAGAATCAGTGCTTTGAACACAAACACTCACAGGCGTGTGTGCTTCCCACTCTGCGCCAGGCGCGCCCAGGTCCTCCAAGAACATGCTGGTGCCTGACCCACTGCGGAGGCTGGGTGCTGGCACCCCGGGGCCTGTGATGGTGCCTGGGCCCCGGTGGCCAAACTACATGTGCCGAAGGCTGTGTGGTCTTTCTGTGTAAGGCCTGCTGTGGTTCTGATGGGCAGCCCGGTGAGAGCTGGTGCAATAAGGTGTGTGCACACATGTGCAGACCAAGTTCACATGCTTGTGGGTTTGCACAGCATTGACACACACACGTGCCTGCCCTCCCAGCCCCAGAACACATACCTGGACGTGGCCCAAGAAAGATCCTGGTTTCAATAAATGAAACAAGATCATCAACAGAGAAGAGCAGGAGAGCATGAGCCCACCAAGGGGCCACGGAGAGAGGGCAGAGGCGGCCCAGAGTTGAGTGGGGAGGGGGACAGGAGGCAGGGCAGGGTGGGGAGGGGCAAGGCACGGCCCGGCGGCAGGTGCAAGGTTGGCAGGAGGCTCCAGGCATGGCAGGAGCCAGTGGCCTAGTCTGAGTGCACGTCTGGGGAGGACACTGCTGCCCCCAGGAACCAAAAACACATGTCCTGCTGCTGGCTGCCCCCCTTCCTCCTTGTGGCTCCCCTGGCCCTGGTTTCCCTCTTCCACCTTCAGGGTTCTAAGGTGGTGGGTGCTCGTGAGCACTCCAGGCTGTAGGGCAGGTGGACAGTCCTATGGCCCAGGAGTACAACCACAGCAGCCAGCCGGGGTCACCAACGAGGACAACACACAGCAACAGGGGCGGGCAGGCGAGGGGTGGGGTAGCCGGACCCCCCACTGGGGTCACGGTCGCACTGGCCACCCAGCCCTGGAAGCAGCCCCAGGACACCATGCCAGGAAACCAAGCCCCCACGGCAAGAAGCAGGCTGAGCACACGATGTCACGGCACATCTGCACACAGTGGGAAACGGCCCCCTGACCAGGAGCCGCGAGGCTCCTCCAGGAAGAAGGCAGAGATACCAGCACCTGGGGAACGGGCCTTCCCTCTGCGGGGGGCTGAGGGCCTGGGGGGGACGGCCGGCCTGACACGGGCCCCATAGGCTCCCTCCCTCCCATGTGCTCTGTCGAAAGGCTTCTGCACCCACTGGGGCACCTGCCACCACGTGCCACAGAGCCCTGTCAGCAGGTGGGAGGAAAGACGCAGGGCACGGAGGACAGCACTGCCACACCCCCCAACCCCACCGGCCGAGCCTGGACCACAGGCAGGCTGGCAGCAGCTGAGCGGAGGAGAAAGCGACGCGGAGTGCCCATCAGCCAGCGCCCCAACACCCCCCCACCCGTGCGCGGCAGGCAGGGGAAGCCGGGCTCTGTGATGGGCGACCATCCTTGGGGAACTCCCAGAAGAGGATGAGGGGGCCTGCGCAGGGCCACCCCTCACAGGGCAGAGCCCTGATCGCCTGCTCTCCTCGCCCTGCAGCGTCTCCTGGTAGCGTCTGCCCGGGGAGGCCCACAGATACCTGGGCGGCGCTGGCGGCAAGGACAGGACAGTACGTGGCTGTGACTTCATCTCTAGCTACAGAGCTAGGGCACGGGGCCCAACCAAGAGACCAACAGACACTTCCGGTCCTTGCCTGGCAGCCGGGCTGCGAGCCCCCTAAGGGTGGGCCCCTGGCCTCCTCTGCCCTTTGCTCAGGCCTGCTGGCTGCAGCCTCCTTCTTGGCTGTCTCTGAAGATCCCGACATTCTGCATGTACCAGGCCTGGCGGGGGCCACGAGGGCAGGCGGGGGTCTGCCTTTATGCAAAGTGACCTCATCCATGCAGGCCTGCCCTCTCACCTGGGTGTCCACAAATTCCTGGAATGAAGAACTACCTGGAAAGCTTGTTCAGAACACAGGCTCCAGGGCCCCTACCCAAGCCTGTGGGGTCCAAATTTCCAGAAGAAAGGCCTGGTAACATGCAGATCTAACACACGCTTCAGGTGATCTCACCCGTGGGGCAGGAAGTGGTGTGGGGCTCCCCTGAGCAAGACTCTCAACTCTGGCCGAGGGCCAGCGCCCAGGCCGACTCCCCGGGACACGGCGGGGCGGCACCAGCAGGGACTGAGAGCTGCAGAGTCCACGCACAGCAAAGGGGCAGGACTGAGGCAGGGATGTACACGACGCGAAGGCAGGCAGGGCCCGCGGCCTCTCACCTTCACACCCCGGACGCGGAACTCGGCCAGGGCTCTGCTCATCTTGGTGGCGGCCGTGGGGTGGTCCTTGCCATGGGCGATGACTTTGACCAGGAGGGAGTCATAGTGCGGGGAGATGACAGCTCCTTGGAAGGCGGAAGCGTTATCCAGGCGGATGCCCATGCCCTCTCCGCTCCGGAACACCTGCGGGGAGAGGGGAGCAGAGTCAGGAACTGGTCAGAAGCCGGAGTCAAGGTGCGGCCCCCAGCCCAGGCTGGATGAGGGTGGGCCTGGCAGGGCACTGAGGGCCACGCACGAGAGCGCCCACAGGTTAACCCCAACTCTGGCTTGTGAAGTTCTGCTTAGTTTCTGCCAGAGAACCCAGGGGCACACTGCCTTCTCTAAGTGCACCCAGTCACTGCTTCCTCCTCCCCGAGCAGAGCTGGCAGGGGCAGGACAGGGGACAGGGGAGGACACGTCCTGCCAGCGCCAGCACTCTGGGCTGACAGAGCCCAGCACAGCACGGAGAGGGGCCTGGGCGGGCAGGGGCCAGCCCTGCGTCTCTATTCCAGGGCCCATTCCTAGCAAACTTCACCGCCCGCCTGCCCGGCCCTCCTGCCTTTCAGAGTCCTTCATTTGTTCACTCATTCACTCCCAGGCGTGTGTGCCCACCACATGCCAGGCAGTGGGGACAGGGCAGCTAAAACAGAGTCCCTGCTCGCATGGGGCTCCCAGCCTGCCAGGTAAGGGGACAAACGAGAAAATGCCCAGACTGGTGACAGGGACGCTGGGATGGGAGCAAGGCGAGGAGACGAGGCAGGCCAAGGGGGTTCTGTTTTAGTGTACAGTGATGGGGAGGCCTCAGTGTCCCCCCACTGCCCCCTCCTTCCAGAAGGGGAGAATCGGGGGAAAAGGGAGATGAGGCAGAGGAAGAGGCAAGCAGCTAGGAAATACCAGGACAGGGAGAAGGGCTGGCTGCGGGAGAGACGCAGGAGGCCAGGTGCGCACGTGCCCACACAGCTGCCCGGAGAGGGAAGCAGGGGAGAGAACGACGGGTCAGAGAGGCCGACTTGTGGGGACAGACGGGGAGGGGCTGGGGGGACAGAGGTTCGGGGTGTCTGGGGGTAACTAGCACACAGGTGAATGTTGTGATGGGATGGGGGGTGGGGGTGAGCCCCAGCAGGAAGAGCCTGCCCCGGGGGCAGGGGGACCCTCATGAGGCCCATGTAAGGGGACGGGGAGTGGGAGGGACAGCCCGGGGGCTTGGGACACCCAGTGCACCACATTTCCGCTTCTAAGGGACGCGGGCCTGTGTTCGATAAAAAGGAACTTAATAAAATATTTAAGGGTGAGCACTCAGCTGTGAGCAGGAACTGTCGGCTAAAAATACCCTGTGGTAAACCAGGTTTGGAGGAGCCAGGCGAGGAGGCGGAGGCGGAGGAGGCAGGGTCGCGTCACAGGGCTGCCCCTTCCGGCCGAGGGCAGAGAAGTCAGGGGCCGCCGGCCGCATAGCACCCGGGCCTTGGGGCTGGCTCCCACCTACGACTTGGATCGTTCCAGAAACAGAATTCTGGTGGCAGCTCTCTGCCTCAAGCCAACCAGCTCTAGGCGACTTTCAGAATCCAGACAGCCCCCCTTCCCTGCAGACGTCTCAGAAGCCCAGTATCTGTCTCAAAATCACCCTGGCCTCTGGAGCAGGACCTGAGCTCCCCAAAAGGCCTGCTTCCGCGGAGGCCAGGCCACCTGGGCAGGCAGCACACCAGCAGAGCTGGCAGCAGGGCTGCTGACACATGGGATCTAGGGCTACCTCAGCCAGCGTGAGATGGGGGCCAGGGGACAGGCACCCCAGCAGGCCAGAGGGCCCTGCCCGCAGCAGTCCTGACACTGGGGCGAGGAGGGGAGACAGATGGCTTTCGGGGCGCCTCCGCACTGGGAGGAAAGAGACAAGGTGCAGGA